CCTCAATCCTTTATTACTGCGCTTTGCTTCAGCTAGGTCGAGCTAGAATTATAATACTTCAGAATTTTTGGGAGTTCTACCCCCTTTTTTTGAATTTTGGTCATTTAAGGTTTATGATTTTGCTATTGCCTTCTGAGGAAACTGAATAGTTCAGTGAAACAGGGTAAGGCTTCGTTCAATTTTAGGTTTTTCTAATTTTTTTCTTAAACTTTTTGATTTTTATTATTTAGTTTATTTCCATAAGATAATATTTCTAGTCGATTACTTCTCGTTTCAGGAATTTTCACGGTATTTCATTTGTTTTGCGCAATTTCTCGGTTCCATGACTGTCTTTTTTCTACTACATTTTTGACTAGGGCTTTTCATATTTCTTGTAGCTGTTGGAACATAACCTGTTGGTCCCTATAGCATAAAATGTGCTGCTTTTAGGTGTTTTAAACTGTGGCGGGGTGAGGTGGGAATCGAACCCTAGTCTACACACTCTAACCACTAATTGTACTGGTTCTTAAATCCAGTTTAATACATTTATAGACCTGACTGTGGATTATTACCATTATTATTTCAAGTCCTCGTGAAAATTCATCGGCGTTTTTATTGCACTTTCTCCTGCTTATTCTCCTACACAATTTGGTGTAATATATATGGGTGTTTTTTGTTTTGTGAAACAATATATCCTTATGTAAAGCATGTTAGTATTATATTTTCACAAATATATGCATTTCTTTCATGCTTTCCCCTAATACAGTGGTACCTTGGGTTACATATGCTTCAGGTTACATATGCTTCAGGTTACAGAATCTGCTAATCCAGAAATAGTGCTTCAGGTTAAGAACTTTGCTTCAGGATGAGAACAGATATTGTGCTCTGGCGGTGCGGCGGCAGCAGGAGGCCCCATTAGCTAAAGTGGTGCTTCAGGTTAAGAACAGTTTCAGGTTAAGAACGGACCGCCAGAACGAATTAAGTACTTAACCCGAGGTACCACTGTATATGCTTTGCGTATGCATAGTTGAAGAACTGCATCGTAAAATTCAGGGAAGTGAGAATTTTCAATGGATAGTTGCCCTTCACTTCATTGTTTCGGGAAGTGCATTCCTTGACATGGTTTCCTCCATGGAAAGTTTTACTTTTTCTCGTTTCTGTTTCCCAGGCATGGAGGTTGCTGCTTACCTCACGGAGAAGGCGCATTCCGTCTCTGTGGTGGAGCTGGAGGAAGTTCCCTTCAAGAAGTTCTTTGGGGAGAAGGTTGGCCGAGCCATCATGAAGGTAGCAACAGATACGGAAAGTTAACCTGTGAGAGCTCCTAGAATCATAGAATTGTAAAGGTGGAAGGGACCCTGAGTGGTTATTAAACCACTTCTTAAAAATAATAATACATCTTTGGACCCGGCCGATACGGCCAACTATCTCCCAGTCTCAAATCTTCCATTCTTGGAGATTCCATTCATATGTCAAGGAAATAAGCAACTATCTGACTTTTAGAAGACATCTGAAGGCAGCCCTATTTAGGGAACTTTTTTAAGGCTTGATGTTTTTATTATGTTTTTAGATATGCTGTAAGTCACCCAGTGTGGCTGGGGAAACTCAGTCAGATGGGCAGGGTATAATAATAATAATAATAATAATAATAATAATAATAATAATGTCCAACCACCTTCAAGGCAGGAATATGTAGCTGTCCCATGCAGGGATCAAACCGGCATTATCAGAACTATTCTTTGGCCAACTGAGCTATTCAGGCTGACTGTGGCCCTCTTTTTGAAGAATGTCTGTGAGGAAGGGAAGTTTTGACCAACTGTTTGATAATTCGAGGATCCATTATAGAATCAAGTATAGGGGGAATTTATGATTATTTTATTATCTTTATTTAATTTTATTCTGTAATATTTATATGCTACTTTTTATTTATTACAAACTTCTGATTTTTTTTTTTTTAACCAATTACTAAGCATAAAGTGTTGTCTTCCAGGGCAAATGCATGTACAAGTGTTAAGTCTTGTATGCAGTCATGCATATAAACATCAAAACAGACTTGGAAAATCTTCTACTTTACAGACTGAGCTCACATCCACACAACTTGATTGTAAAAAAACAACATCTGTGTGGTTGACATAGAGAATAAAACAATAACGTAATCAGTAAATACAGTGAAAAGCAACTACTTATTATTTTGTATACTTCTTAATGCCCAAAAATAGACTTCTAAGTGGTATACAAAGTATAGAAGCAATAAATATATTAACAAGGCATAAAACCAGTTAGCTACACAAATTATTCAAATATAGAATCACATATTTGTGGAGTTGGAAGGAACCCTCAAGGTCATTAATCCAACTCCATGCAATGCAGGAATCACAGTTAGATAATCTCTGACAGATGCCCCCCCCCACATCTGTTTAAAAACCTCCAAGGAAGGAGAGCCCATAATTAAAATATGCAGGGAAGACGGCTTTAACCCTTTGTTTCCCACTGTAGTCCTGATCTGTTGGGGGGGCAGCAATTTTATGTAACTGTGTGATTTGCTGCCACTATGTGACCATAGTTGTGTGAATGGTTAAAATCCCTCCACCTGCCATGCTAGGGTTCCGATCTGGACTGGGGCCCAACTGCTGGCCATTTATCTTTAAAAAGAAAATCCTATGCTTAAGAGCACCAGTACAGAGCTAATGTATAATCTTCCCCCTCCCTCTCCTTCTCTGTCTGTCTGTCTGTCTTGCTTCCTTTCTCTTGGACAGATGTTTGAAAACAATCGGGTGAAATTCTACATGCAGACAGAAGTCTCGGAACTGCGGGAACAGGAGGGCAAGGTAGGTTTGTGTGCAATGACCTTTGAGCACCATCTGTTGGATTTCCAAGGTCTTTGCCTTTGTCATTCTGTGCTTCTTGGCCTGCTGGGGTTGATGGGAAGGCGATTCTATGCCTTGCATTGATCTAGAAAGAATCTAGTCCCATGCAGCACCGGGGCTGAGAGGTGTAGTGTACGACACTCCTTGAGAGTCTGTGACTGTGATGGGGGGGGGAGAGATTGTGTAGGCACTGCTGTCTAAGTTTGCTTGTGGAGGTCTTCTTTTTTCTTCCTATATACATAGGAATGTAATGGTGTCGTCACGCTCAGCATTTTGCAGAGCGGCTGGTGGGCAGCCAATCCAACTGCAGCAAGGGTTAGCTGCAGAGATTGGGGAGGGGGGCTTCTCACACAGTGGTTGAGCCAGCTGTTGCATGAAGACCCTGCTTCCTTTAAGTTAGGGACGGGGTAGAGGAGGAATGGTGGAGGCTGTCACAAATTCTTTGCAGCGCTTTAGCAGAAATGCTCAGAGTTCCAGGTTCTTCTGCGCAGTATATTTATTGTGAGATATACCGTATTTTTCGCCCTATAGGACGCACCGGCCCATAGGACGCACCTAGATTTTGGGGGGGAGGAATAAAGGGGGAAAATTATTTCCCCCCCCCAGGCGCGGGGCTGGGGCGGGGGAAGCCCGAGCTTCCCCCACCCCCAGCCCCCAGAACGGGTCCCAGAGCGATGCCAAAGCTGCGTTCAGCTTTAGCATCACTCTGGGAGCTTGCGTGGCTGGGGGCGGGGGAAGCCTGAGCTTCAACCGACCCCAGCTCCCAGAAAGGGTCCCAGAGCGATGCCGAAGCTGCGTGCAGCTTCGGCATCACTCTGGGAGCTTGTTGGGCTGGGGGGATAGCTTCCTGAAGCCTGGAGAGCAAGAGGGGTCAGTGCGCACCTACCCCTCTCGCTCTCCAGGCTTCAGCGAAAGCCTGCATTCGCCCCATAGGACGCACACACATTTCCCCTTCATTTTTGGAGGGGAAAAAGTGCGTCCTATAGGGCAAAAAATACGGTATATATATATAGGCTATAATTAACTAGCAATTCATACAATCAAACAGGGTACCTGGCTGCACCTTAAGGTAAATAGGAAGACCTTTCTATCTCTATCTCTATGACTATACTCTCCTACACCACCACAACTACTGCTGGACAGGTTTCCTTTTTAAACTGATGACAGCCAATCAACTGATATCGCCCAGTCCTAGTGCAGGCACAGCCACATTTCTCACTAGACCCACGAATGGTATAACCTACAGCAGCCTTCCCAACCTGGCACCCTCCAAAGGTTTTGGACTACAACTCCCATCAGCACTACACAGCCATGCATCCAAAACACTTGGAGGGCACCAGGTTGGGGAATGGTTCATTGGACAACTTTTCCATTCTTTATTTCCTGGTTTCGCAGTGTGGGGTGGACTACCCTGTGAATGAAATAAAAGGGTGTAAGATCTGGGCAAAATGGGCTGCGGCTCGTCTTTCCAGTTACTACCATTTCCTACTTTTTTCTCTCTCCCTTGAAGCTAAAGGAGGTTGTATTGAAAAGTGGCAAAGTCCTCCGAGCCGATGTCTGCGTCATAGGCATAGGTAGGTGGCCATGCAAAACTTTACTTCTCTGGAATCCTTCATATCGGGGTATGTGTGTGTGTGTGTGTGTGCGCGCGCGCGTCATGGGCTGCTATGCACCCTACCTGTGGACCATCCATTGCAATGATATCTTTTGCAACAAAACACTTTCGCATTTCCCTTTCTCATTCATTGATGGAGAATGGTCGGAGCGGGGAACACAGCGGAAATTTTGGCGCACCGCTGCTGTAAATTCCTAATCAACTAGGTTGCTTATCTATTTCGTAAAATTCATATTCCGACGGATTGTAAAATGGCGACAACAACGCCTCAAAGCGGTTTGCAAAAGGAAGAAAACGATAAAATGATCAGTAAAAACATTCAAAAAAAATAAAATCAGCAATAAACTAAAAGCAGATGAAAATATACAGCAATATTCTACATGTCTGGGTAGGTTTGCCTAGATGTTGGGTTTTTTTAAAGCAGGTGCTGAAAAGAGTACAGTCAAGATGCCGGCTTTTGGCCAAGAAGCCGAGAACTGATGTTGGAGACAGGGGGCGGTCAGACTCTGGGACTTAGGGCCAGGCTGGTGGTGCTCATGTCAGCCTGGATAGCTCAGTTAATTAGAGCATGGTGCTGATCTTGCCAAAGCTGCAAGTTCGATTCCCGTTTGGGACAGCTGCATATTCCCGTGGGTTGGACTAGGTCATGGGTAGGCAAACTAAGGCCTGGGGGCCAGATCTGGCCCAATCCCCTTCTAAATCTGGCCCACGGACAGTCTGGGAATCAGCTTGTTTTTACATGAGTGGAATGTGTGCTTTTACTGTATTTAAAATGCATCTCTGGGTTATTTGTGGGGCATAGGAATTTGTTCATTCCCACCCCAAAAAAATATAGTCTGACCCCCCACAAGGTCTGAGGGACAGTGGACCGGCCCCCTGCTGAAAAGGTTTGCTGACCCCTGGACTAGGTGATTCAGAGAGTCCCTACCGACTCTAGAATTCTGTGATTCTATGGAGAAGTTGCTTAGGCACAGCCCTCCCACTGACAACATTCCGGTCTCCCTTTCTGGGCAGGTGCAACCCCAGCGACGGGCTTCTTGAAGCAGAGTGGCATTAACGTGGACTCCAAAGGTTTCATCGTGGTGAACAAGGTAAAACCGGGGCACGGAAGGCAGGCTGGAGCCCAGTGCGAGTGCTCTGGTATACGCAACAGATGTGCCGTCAACCCACGAGGTTCTTTCCTCCTCCCTTCCAGATGATGCAGACCAACATCCCAGGAGTTTCTGCAGCCGGTGACGCTGTTGCCTTTCCACTGGTGCTGAGGAACAACAAGAAGGTGAACATCCCTCATTGGCAGATGGCTCACATGCACGGTGGGTGACGCTCAGTTTCTTGTTTCTTCTTTTGTCATTTAAATTTTTCATTTTATAACGTATACAAAGCAGAGAGAACGGTTATAGCAACAGGTGAAAATTAAAAGATGAGAAATAGGTAGTTATGTCATTCCATTCTGCTCAGTATTGATTCAGAGCAGATTCCAACATATAGTTAGCAGAGTAAAAACTTAAAACATGTTGCAAGATTCCCAAAAAATAGACCAGAGGCAATTGTATTTCATCTAGCAGAGCTTTATTGCTACTGAAAGCAAATGAGCATAATGGTCGCAAATCCAATACATTCAGGATTGGCACTGTCCATAAGAAATCCAGTTGCAGCAGACTTAACTTAAACTTACAATAACTTATAATAAGTCTAAACCTTAACACTAAGCATACTATGTACAGAACACCACACCAGAAGGAAGAGAGATAGAAAGAGAAAGTTAAACCCAGGCTCCTTCTATCCTTATTTTTATAGTCATCATAACCTTGAAAGAACGAGATAAGAGAACCAGTTTAAACCAGCTGTACTCAGCTTCTCTGAAGGGATAACCCAGACATCACGAACCTTCTGCTTGTTTCTTTCACACAGAGAAGCTTCCAGAACCCTCTTTAATTAATTAGAATAGGAAATGTGAGATAGTGGGTGGACATAGCAGACGACGCAGCGATTTCTCCAAAGCAGCTCTTTATTTGTATGCTGGAACAGAACTGAACTGCAAACAGCTCAGCCGGCCTGCTTTTATAGGCAGCCGGCTGTCAACATTGTAGCAACAACAACCCAGGGTTTCCCCGCCTAAAGTAACTGACGTGGACCTGAGTGAAAACTATATACATGATACTCCTGGTGGCCAGGGTGAGAACTTCAATACATAACACCCCTCCCCACCGAGATAAGGCATTAGTTACAATCATAGTGGTTCCATTACATACAGCAATACTCTTACTGGTTTCAGTAAGGCACATAAGCATATTAATTGACCCTATTCACGAAACAGCTTTACATGTGCAGTTTGTCCAGTGAACATAGTCTTTTAAATACGGGCTACTGGCCTTGCGGATTTCCTGGGCGGAGAGTTCAGCAGCTTCTGAGGCCACGGCCTCCTCAATGGCTTTCTGCAGCGTGAGGTCTGCCTTGGCGAGGAGATGCCGTTGCAGACGGATGTCCCGGACCCTGCAGACGATTTGATCCATCAGGGCATCGTCTAAGTCTCGGAACTCGCAGTGCATTGCAGCCTGTCGGAGGGCGCACATCAGATCAATACTTTCTGTACTAAGAAATGCAAAATGACAAGTTACACACGGGTTAAAATAGCAAAGTCCAAGACTAACAGCTGGCCTAAACCACCCCTAAAAGAGAGGGCGAGTTCAGATTCCAGGAGGATCTACACAGCTGGTTAGGGGAATCAGGGAGAGCTGGATTGCTGGGTGGCTGGTGCTGTAGATATCAACTGCATGGAGCATTGGGCAATGTGCTCTTCCTCCACATTCCAGGACGCATTGCCGCGCTGAACATGTTGGCACATGGGACCGAAATCAGCACAGTCCCTTATCTGTGGACAGCCATGTTTGGCAAGAGCATCCGCTATGCAGGTGAGTGAATGGCCCACCCAGTTCTGACGGTAAGAGCAAGGCCAAGTCTTCTTCTCTGCAAGACTTTGGAGGAAGATCTATCCCTGGCCATTGGCTGTCATTGCTGGCGCGGTTGTACAAGTTCCTCACCCTTGCAATAAATCAGTGTTATTTCTCCTTTCATTTCCCAGGCCATGGAGAGGGGTTTGATGATGTCATCATTCAGGGGGACTTGGATGAACTGAAGTTTGTGGCGTTTTACACCAAGTAAGTGCTGCTTTGTCTTTCCAAAGATGCAACTGCACCCACGTTAAGTGAGGATGGGCATTTGCAAAAAGTGCTGGCTGTGCTCCACTTAATGGCATTCCGTGCATCCGCAACACGAGTCAGCAGTGTGATGCAGCGGGGGAAAAAAGCTAATGCAGTTCTAGGTTGCATCAACAGAAATCTAACGTCCAGATCAAGGGAAGTAATAGTACTCTGTTCTGCCCAGGTGAGACCCTAGCTGGAGTCTTGTGTCCAGTTCTGGGAACCCCAGTTTCAGAAAAATATTGACAAATTGGAGTGTGTCTTGATAAGAGTGACCAAGATGATCAAAGGGTTTGGAAACCAAGCCTTATGAGGAACGGCTGAGGGAGTTGGGTAGGTTTAGCCCGGAAAAGAGAAGACTGAGAGCCATCTTCAAATATCTGAAGGGCTGTCATATGGAGAAAGCTTGTTTTTTGCTTTTCCAGGGAGTAGGACCAATGGATTCAAATGACAAGAAAGGAGACTCCAACAGGGGTCAGCAACCTTTTTCAGCTGTGGGCCTGTCCACCATCCCTCAGACCATGTGGTGGGCCGGACTATATTTTGGAAAAAAATATGAGCAAATTCCTATGCCCCACAAATAACCCAGAGATGCATTTTAAATAAAAGGACACATTCTGCTCATGTAAAAACACGCTGATTCCCGGACCGTCCGTGGGCCAGATTGAGAAGGCGATTGGGCCTTAGTTTGCCTACCCCTGAACTAAACATTAGGAACAAAGGTGCCAGCTTGCCTCCCACATTGGGGGGGGGGGCGCATCACATGACACGTCATGTGATGTCGCGTGACACATCCACCCTAGTGGGTCGTGTGGCGGGGAGATGGAGGCGGAACCATCGCATGCTCCACCTCCCCACCTAATGTCATGTGAGGAGAAGGGGGCGGAGCTCAGAGCTTAGCTTTGCCGCTGGGCCTCCTTCTCCCCATGGCATATGGGGGGTGGCATCACAGGGGGTGGGGCATACGGAGGGCAATCTTCACCCTCGCTCAGCCCAGCTCCCTCCTGGCTCCCAGGTGGAGGCTGGGGTGCACAGAGGGCACCAAACGGTGACAGAGGATGTCAGCCCCTCAATATTGGGAGGGCTGGGTTCCCTGATTCAAAATATTGAGGGGGCTAGAGTCCCTAGCGCCCCCTATACCTCACACTGGCGATTAGGAAGACCTTTCTGATGGTAAGAACTGTTCAGCAGTGGAATGGACTCCCTCAGAAGGCTCTCCTTCATTGGAGATTTTTTTTTGTATTTTTATTAAAGATTTTCTTGATTTACAGAAGTATGTGTAATGTCTCTCTCTTGTATTTTTTCCATGTAACATTTTTACAAATCAGTTTCATTTGTTGAGACATTAGGAAGAAAAGGGGGAGAGGGGTGGAAGATGGGTGGGGGTGGGGTCGGGTGGCGATGTTTCTATTTTGCTTAATGTATGCAGGGTTTGGTGTCAGCATCGCTTGTGCAGGTTCTCTGCTGTTCACTTGTGTTCCTTTGGTGGTGAGAGAGGTTGGGGTTGGCCTTGTTTGTTTGTGGTTGGCTGTGGTGATCTTTGTTTTCATCTGTGAGTGGGGTGGGTGGATGTTTTGGATCAGGTTAGTCATATTGATTTGTATGCTGTTGGTGGATTGTTGTCATTGTCTTGTTGGGCTGTGTATGTGATAAAGGGGAGCCATACCGGGGTGAAGGCGTCTTCTGTTTGTCCCCCTTCATTGGAGATTTTAAGGAGAGGCTGGGTGGCCATCTGTCAGGGATTCTGTGATCTCAACCTCTCCTTCTCCATCAGCCTCCAAATCCTCGGATCTTTCGTTTCAGGAATGAAGAGGTGCTTGCCGTGGCAAGCATGAACTACGACCCTCTGGTCTCCAAAGTTGCAGATGTCATGGGAGCCGGCAGGGCCATCCGGAAAAGAGATGTGGAGTAAGTTGCAACCGCCGGTTTGAGACTGACCTTTCCCTCAAAGCACCCACTGGTTGGTTTCCTTACTTTCCTCATTGCAAAGTTGATTGACAGCCCAAAAAGTAAAAGGGGGTTTCAACTGCTGATCCACCCCCAAGTTTTAAAGGGCATCAATCTGGTCTGGGCTGTCTGTGTCCCACAACTGCCCCACAAACAGAGCATAATGTGGGGTACAGATCTGGTGGATCTTGCCATTCATTTTAAACGCAAGGTTCTAGTCCTCAAGCTTGTGAGTATCAGACGAAAAGTTTACCTGCCACTTCTTTGTTTTTCTTTTCTGGCAGAGCTCTCGTCCACTTCCCACTTGTGAGGCAGGTGAATCCATCCCCCCCCAAGGAAATGGATGTAGTGATATTGGGTGGGGGGAGCTCACTTCCTTGATCAGCATTGGGCCAGCACTGAGTGAAAAATCAGGAGCTAGGTTGGCTGATTTTCCAGTAGGAAGAGGTGTGAGCAACTTTCTGTCATA